CACTCCTCCGATCGATCCCCCGTCCAATTCAAACGGGGATCGAAATTACGACGGCCTGAGCCGAGGTTCGAACCCCTAGTGGTGCCCTCAGACTAAAGTCGTATCCGTCAGGCAGGAGTTGGCCTACAGCCGCTCCATAAGTCCTTCCGCGGGTTTGGAGTGTCATCTGCACTCGCCCCATAACGTCCGGTGAAGCTGTAAAGGCCAGCTACGGCCAACAGCATTAGAGTTGTCCGAAAAAATATATATATAATAAAACACTTATATTCTGTCTCTCGGCTGTATCATTACAAGCTCCCAGGTTCTCAACAAAGTAGGTCATAGACCTAACCCTAAAGGGGCGTGTACATACACCTCCTTAAAACTTCATTGGCAGTTTTTTACTTTTTTACACTAATGGCAACCCTCACAATGCCTTTCAAATAATAATACATTAATTGAAAAATGTTTACGTAAGCATGGGTAAGAGTTTCACTCCGCCAGAAGCTGAAATACCATCCTGATCATCTGGATGAATGGCGGTCTTCCACAGTGCGGTTTTCTAGAAACTTTTTGCCTCGCACAACCACATTATGGAATCACCTTCCAGCAATGGTATTTCCGAACCGATACAATATTGAAACCTTCAAGAAAAGAGCTTATTCCTTTTTAAAAGGCCGACAACGTACTTGCAAATACCCTGGTGTTGCGGGTGCTCATGGGCGGCGGTAATCACTTACCATCAGGTGAGCCGCATGCTCGTTTGTCCCCTGTGTTATAAAAAAAAACTCACTGTTGCTGACAAGGGGGATGGGGGTAAAATAATTGTAATAAATCTGCTTACGTAATACTTGAACGGCCCCCTATCAGTTAGGGCAGTTTTTCTTGTCCCTGACAGGTCTAAGAAGCGAATAGATCTATGCAGGTCACAGTGGTGTAGGTCTTAGCACCTGACAATAGCTCAATAAAGAAAAAATAGGGCAGTGGTTCTTAAAAAGTGTAAATATACATCTAAACATATAAATAAAATTGTAGTGTCAGTTTGTAATATTGTAATAACCGTTTTTTACTACATGCATATGAATATAAGTACGGTACATACACCAAAATAACATTTTTTTATTTTTTTTTTTATTTTTGTCTATTTGTTTGTTTCGGCTAATCTCTGAAATGGCTGGACCGATGTTGACGGGACTTTTTTTAGCAGATAGATGATGTAATATGAAGTAACTTAGGCTACTTTTATATTAGAAAAATAAAGTTAAATTCCACGTGGACGAAGTCTCGGGTAACAGCTAGTACTTAATATTTTAGAATATACATATATCTCGGTAATATATTAATGCTCATATGTATTCACGCGTTATTATAATAAATTCCACGTTTGTGTGAAGTTTTATTGTTTTATAACGTGAATGATTCGAGATTTATCTGCACACCATTTTCCGGTGGATGCTTTAAAATTATTGCATTTAAATTGTTACGAATGACTGCAGTGGAGGCATTTCGGGTTTTTGAATTACAGGTAAATAATAATAATGTATGAGTGTGTTACTAATTCATATTATTTACAATTTCCTATGTCAATTTAATTTTATTTCTCCATTTATAGCATGGGTTCCAGGGAGTCTGCGAGAGTGCTTTAAGGAATCAAATATCCTCACCGTTGCTTCTCAATATATTTATGAAAATATCATGTATGCCAGGAAGAATATAGACAGTTTCAAAAGAGTTAGTGATTGCACTAATAAAAGCTTACGTAACAATAACAAACTGATTTTACCTAAATGTCGTTTGGCTAAAGTTAGTAATTCGTTTTATGGCAATTGCGTAAGGTTTTACAATAAAATACCAGAGTCTGTTATAAATCTGCCAGAAAAAAGATTTAAATGTCAAATAAAACACTTCTTTTGCAAAAAGCTTACTATAAAATTGAAGAATTCGTTAACGATAATAATGTTTTTGTAGAAAAATTTTAAATACATAGCACTGACAATATTATCTGATTACACTAATAATGATTGTAGTGTAGTGCGTAGCGATTTCTATGTTGATTATCGCATGCCTCTTACTTGTTACACTGTAATTATTTATATAAAAAAAACATCTATTAAAAAGAGCAACACACAAGTTTCTTGCTCATTCTTCTTGTGATGAATCTGCATTCCGAATGAGTGGTAGAATCAAAATATGACTATTCAAAAGTGCTTGTAATGAGTTTATTTGAATAAAGATTATTTCTATTTCTATTTCTATTTATTTACTAGCTATTCTAGCGACTTTGTCCGCGTGGAATTTAACTTTATTTTTCTAAAATAAAAGTAGCCTAAAGTACTAAAAATTATTTTGTTCGCTTAATTTATTAGTTCCATTAGGTACTGATAGGTTGAAACTAATATATTTACATCCTGCATCATCCCTTATTTTATCCTCTTGGGGGTTGAATTTATCAAAATCCTATTTAAGCGAACGTCTTCATTATAGTAGCTCCAATCTTTAATTTTAGTTCAATCAGTCGAAAATCTAAGAAGATTTATACAAATTTTCATCCCCTTATAAATCCCACCCGGATTTATCAAAAGTCTCAGCCCGATCGGTATAAAATTGACAAAGTTTCACACAAACTTTCATCCCCTATTTTACCCCTTGGCGGTAGAATTAATCAAAATCATTTCTTTTCTTTCGTATGCCTTCGTCATAACATCTACCTGCATGCCATGTTTCAGCCCAATCCAGTGGTTTGGGCTGTGCGTTGTCTATGTCAGTCAGTCACCTTTGAGTTATATATATTTAGATTTCCTTCTTTCAGGCTACGAATGAGCTATATTATAAATACCTTATAGATCAAAATAGGCATGTAATGCATAGGAATGAAGATAATATTTTAAGAAAGGTGTTACAAATTAATTTAGATGGTTATAAGGCTGAAAAAGATATGGATGGACTGTGCGAAAGATAATATAGTTTTTATATTTGCACCGCCAACAATTATTCTCTGCACCACCCATGGTTGACTGGTAGATAATGCCGCATGGTGTTAAGTCCGCCATATGTACTTTCAATTATGTGCATTAAAGTTTTAATAAAATAAATAAATAAATAAATATAGTAAGAAAGGGGGTAGATAACGTGATGACTGCGAACAGGGATGAATAGAAGAAGAAAACATATTACGCCGACCCCAAATAAATGGGATAAGGAAGAAGCAGATTATGATTATAGACTAACATACATGATAAGAAAAATCTGCATATTACGAAATAAAGGGTTTTAATTCACTAAAAGTCTACTGCCATACATACATGCCAACACAAACCAACTTTGAGAAATAAAAGACAGAATATGGCTATTTAAATATCTCAAGCGATTCGTATCATTACAATACATATAAATTAATATTACAATATTGATATAACATTGTCTCTGTCTGATGACGGCAATCTGCCACGGTAGCGCCGATACACCATCCCCTTTAGCCAGTAGTCCTCCTTCATGAAGATGGGAACATGTTGGTAGGGACTCGGGGCACAACGCCTTGAAACTCGCGTTGTGACTCAACTCCTGCTGCATCACCCTCGCCTAGTCGGCTATCTACTGGCAAAACACTCAACTAATACATTGCTTTTATTCATTCATAACTTTAAAGCTCTTCTCGATGGAGCTCTTGCCACTTTCCGCGATCTTCCTTCATGCTCTTTAATTCATGATACGACACGAGTCCTTGTCCTTAATTTGTTTGATGTAGCTGTGCCTTGGTCTTCCCCTCCCCCTCTTTCCTTCTATTTGTCAATAATATCTTTCATTGTTTTTATATTTTTGTTAATTTATTTAGTCAGTTTGAATTCTTTAAAAGAAACATAGCATTTATTTACTTATTAAATATTCTTTTTCGGTTGAAGTGTTGATACAGCTGCAAAATCACAGGGTATAGAGGCAAACTCAACTTTAGTCCTCAATATGCCATAGCGTAATTACCTTATGTTTGAACTAATGGATTACTTATTTCATTTACTCAACCAAATTGTAGCAATTTCCATATGTATACAACATACAACTGCACTGGATATATATGTAATGAAATTAATAAAATTTATTAATTTATAGTGCCATCTATGTAAATTTAATTGTACTGACTATGCTCACTTCTGAGGACGGTCATAAAATAGTCTGAAGGAGTACTCATAGATGTCGCTGTACAGCATAAAAATAATATAAAACAAAGAATTTGAATATAATTCAAATTTTGTACTTTTTTATAACAGAATCAGTTGTTTGATGTTCAAATAATCGTATAATTGAATACAAACAATCAATACCTAATTTTTCACTTATTTTTATGTTGCCACTTATAGTATTGTATATTGAATTAGTTTTGATTATTTTTTACTGTATATCGATTTAGAAAAGACGTCGAGCCATCATTATTGATTCAAAAGTATTACTTTTCTCTTTACTAGACTGTTTATTCTATTACTAATTGATTCATCTCTAATTTTGAATAATAGATCAAAGTTTGCAAGAAATTTCATTATTTTTAAAGTCTAGTCTCCAACCAACATTTAATAACATAAGTACCTACATATGTTTTCTCAAAATACGTAACTTTTTAGGTAAAATAATAATAACTACGAATTTAATTTTTTCGATAACAAAGAATTTTTCCGATTTATAGGTACTAGCTACTCGTCTCGGCTTCGCACGGGTATACGTACATGTATATAAATCAGCCTCTTGAATCATTTTATCAATTAAAAAAACCGAAAATAATATTTGCAAATTCTTATTAATTGATTATTTCATCTTTGCAATAAAATATCATGTAATTCTTGGCCAATAAAATGATTAACAATTTCTAATTTCTTGTTCGAAAACCGGCTATTGGGTTGGCAACACCAATGCCTACTTTAAAAAAGTTAAACACAAACAACATGGAGGATCAGCTGTTTTCATTTTTCTTCATTGGATATTTGTTTTTATAAAACCGCGTACTGTTATGGTTTCATAGCCATGTGTGAATTAAAATGGGCTCCATCGCGTCGGTGCTGCAATGGCATTGTCAGACATGTGGCCAAATCAACCCTACGGAGAGTGTGAAGTGTTTAAAATGTTCAACGAAAAGAGTGTCTGGTCATGACAGTGGCCCGTCTAAGGACACATTTAAAGCCGATTCGTCACCGGAACGCACAATTCGTACTGGAAAAAACGAAGTAACTACCCCTGGGTCGGAGCCGATAGTCGTTCCCACGGAAAACAAATTCAATAGGTGAGTTTTTCACACATAACTAGACCCATCCATTGTTGCAAATGTCACTTCAATATCGATTTTTCTTTACCTTTTATTTAGGTTATATTTCTATTGTATTTCATTGTTGCGTAGTCTTTAAGGAAGTTCATTAGATACATTATACATTGTTAGGCTTTCCATTGCGAGGTTTAGTCAGTAATTGAATGAAAATCTAACGTTGATGTTGAAAGTGGGTGTACAATAGTTTTATTCTAATATATATTTTCTATCGAGACTTCTAAAGCATAAAAGAGTATAAAAACTTATATTAATGAAGATGGTATTACTGGTGGGTGAAATTTATATATAAATACGTTTTTTTACATTCATGCTTTAACACCATTATCAATTTTTTTATACCAGTTACATCAATTATTCTGCATGTTCTTTTGTTATTACTATGAATTCGATGTTTTTTCTGCAGTGTGTTCTATATGCCTACAGCTAATTTCATACAGCAAAATGATGCTTTAGATCAATGAAAATCTCAATAAAATCAGAATTATTGATTTAATCAATCAAGTTGTGAAATGTGTACATTGCTTAAGTTAATTATGTTTCAAAAAGCAATAAATAATGTTATTGCAATAGAAAAGAATATTCAAATTACCCTATATGTTCATTCATTCATAATTTAGGAGCTGCTCTTGTAGGTGCGGCTTGCCATTTTCCATGATTTTCCATCAATTAATTGTTGATAGATATGACCCAAGGAAGTTAAAAAAGTTGGAGTTGTATCATATCAACCCTATATACCATATTGACGGGAGGAGGGATTGATAGTAATGTGAATTAATAACCCCGTTAGCGTGGAGATCAATCTGACAGTACATTGCTAATGTATGATGTCACATTGACCTCCATGCGGTTCCTCATGGAAACTATAATGTTAAATTCTTGGTGAATTTGTCATGACGGACTAACTGACATCACCTCATAATCATCTTATCATCCTCCACTGGTGTCCCAGCAGCATATACCGTTAGCAAGTGCACCATTTGATTATCATTCCTGAAAAAGAACCATAGACACATTTGTAGAATATAGAAATTATTGTTCTAAGGATCAATATAATAATAATAATAATCTTTATTTAATTCAAGAGGATCCTTACAACATTATTTATACAATAGGTACACTTTCATAAATTCATTATTGATTTATTTCAATATGACATATATTTTTTAAAATTTTAATAAAATATAGATTTTACATAGAATTTTATATATCACTTTAAGATTAATATTTTGTAATTCTGAATGAATATTAAATTATAAAGAACTGGTAAGAAACTTAACTGATATTTTTTTATAGCCTGGTTTTAATTAAAAGATGAAGCTACCAGCGAAATGACAATACTCACTATAGTTATTTACAATTTGTAAGTTCTTAATACTAATTTTAGCTGAGGTAAAGAAAATAATGAGTACACCTTTTGTTTTCTAAAAAGTAATTTGTCATTTTTAAAAGCATATAAATATATTTTTTTTATTTCTCTCATGCATTTTATATAAATGTAGATACACAGAGCAATTAAGATTATTCTGAGAGGTGGCAATATAGGCCTCTGTGGTAGAACAGTTTAACACACTATGTTACCTTACTTTCTGATGGTCACGAGTTTGATTATTCGCAGAGTGCAAACATTTGTATTCATAATTATAATTGTTTTTATCAGTCTGGATGTTTCCTATGTTTATATACTTATGTATTTATAAAAAATGTATCTATGTATTCATACCAGTTGCCTAGCCTAGATGGCGCTGTATGAATTGTCCTGAGATATTATTTATACTGGAAGAGTATGTGAACAGTACGTTGTTGTGATGAACAGTGGATGGTTGTGTCACTTGTCTAGCCCATAACACAAGCTACTGCTTAGCTTGTACTATATGGCGATGTGTGAATTATTTGTGATATTGGAAGTGTATGTGAATGATTCCATGTTGCAATGGGGTGCCCATATTACTAAATTGACGAGTTGATTTAATTCTGCTGCTTATGCGGTAAGAAGAATTAGACAATTACCAGATGTGGCAATGGCTAAATTTGTCTACTTTAGCTATTTCCATAGCATTATGTCGTATGGTATTTTGTTATGGGGCAAAGCAGCGGATATAACGGTACATTGTTTTGATGTACAGCGGATGGTCGTGCGTGGGTTCTGCGCCGGAACGGAGCCGCGTGTGGCGCTGCGGTTGCGGCCTGAGGAACGTGTCGGCGGCCTGGCGCTGCGCCGCCTGTGATGCACTCGCGCCCCACGCGCCTGTCTACAGGTGCGCCCTTTTTTCTATTTCAACACTTACTATATTTTTAAAACTTTTTTTTCTGACTGACACTGCTTCTCTTAATCTGTGGGTGTATTTTTAGTAATCCGTGTTTTTTGAAAAAGGAAACATATAGATTGAAGACATCACAAATTAATATATACAGGAATGTATTTAAAATAATATATTTCTTCCATCTTCTCTTTCCGTCTTAATCCTTCTGTTGGATTACGAATCCTTATAAATTAATATATAAAAGAGAGAGTGGACTTTATTAATTGAAAAGAAAATAATTAATGGAAAAGGAAGTAAAAATACGATTTCGACCTGGAAGAACGTCTTCCACACTCCGAACACCCCAAAGTAACCAAACTTACTAACCTTTGCTCAGGAACGTCCCGATGTGTAGTACTGTTTAGTGGCCACGCACTCTAGAGTGTATATTTTCATCAAAAACTATATTGTGTTAAATAAATCCTTAATTATCTCGTTTTATGTAGATAAAAATACGGAGCGTCCTTTTAATTCCAGTTCTTATTTTCAATTATTTTATTATTCTTTTTTCGAAATTTAAGTGCCCACATGTTTTTATATGTGGCCAGTATTACCGAGCGCCCTTTGCTCCAGTAAGCAAGCCGGTGATACAATCTGCTTAGACTAAGGAGGTTCGGAATACGGAACACCCTCCTATAACACGGTAGATTTGTTCCACGTTACAGAAAAACGAATATAAGGGCCGCGTTCAAATTTAAAAGAGTATAAAATTTATATTGTCATTGTTACTTGTTTCAGACTTTCTGATGATGAGGATCAAACTTCAGGGATGACGGATAAAGATAAGTCTGCCCAAGGTTAGTCAATATTTATTATAATGTAGAATTTTTTTTGTGATTATAATTTATGCATGTATCACAAATAAACAATGAAGTAAACACTTAATGTTTGCACCTATTCTGTCTGTAGTTATATATTGACCCGTTTGCCATAATATGGTGTTTTTGATGCAACCGTTTTTACTAGATATAGTCTGAGAAAAGATTCAAAACACCGTCGTGCACTGTTTGCCTGTAAACTAAATTATAAAAAGTATTTTTAACTTCCTTACGTATTTGTTTTTTTTTTCTTATCTATCTGCGATCAGATTTTATAGCTATCATTATCTGTCGCTTTGAGTTACCACATTCAATAATGTGGTCCTCCTTTTATATACATCTGCGGTTTTAAATCGTAGCCAGACGTGACCTTTTTAGCCTGCATACGTAATCCCTAGAGTACAAGAGAGTTGTTGCTACGTACGTTACGCATTTGTTATATGTAAAAAACTAATTGACATTCTTTCTGTTTCTTAGACCACACTATGATAAGATCCAACACCCTGGCTGTCCCATCGTATAAGCCTACTTCGAGCTTCGCCGACGGCCGTCCTTTGAATCTTGACTTGCAATCATTGAGGTTGTCCCCCACGCAGCTCACTGACCACGCACACGGTGTGACCAGGTCCCTCTCTCACGGATCTGTGATCAACTCCCAGCAGAAGTGGTGGAAGGTCGACGAGACCAGGGGCACCATCAACAGACCCACGAGTCTTATGGTCTCAGAGAGATTCGGGTACAATACCCATTATAATCCCCGTGAGTCTTTCCTAAGAAGTCTCCACACTGTTACGAGGAAACCGAAAAAGTGCAGCGAGAGCAAGTCAAATTGGGAACTCAATTACGTAAAAGAATATCAAAGGGAACAAAGCAGAGCGTTACATTTGAAGAAGTGGGCTTGTACCAAATGCACGTTAGAGAATTCTGGTATCAGAACCCACTGCGAGGCGTGCTTATCTCCCAGAGCGTTACCATTGGCAAGAATACCCAACTCTAGAGGGTTGAGTGTCACCACTTTAGGAAGACATGAAACTCTAAGTGGTAGGGACGGAGCGACGTCTCTTCCTACATCGGGTGGTGTTATGATCACCGTGCCCGATTGGCCTCAAACTGGAAGTACCACTTTAGGCAGCACTTTCCGTAGATCGATCAGCGCGCAGAATTCTCCAGAAATCCGGCCTACTTACAGAAGATCGTTTTCGGAGCAAACTCACGCTGAGAGGCCAGTTGGCAAAGTGATTTCAAGCAGACGGAGTTTGAACGAGTATCAGCGTTCTCTTGCGAATTACTGCGGCAGTTTAACGAGACCTGACGACGGTAGAAAGGATCTGATTGAAAAGAAAATTGACGAGAACAACGCGGAATTGATTGATAGAGAGTGCAGTTGGGACACGAACGCTGAGGGTGTGATATACGCTTTACCAAACAAAGGTAAATACAAGGACTTGAATTTGCAGCTGCAAGTGAATAATAACGGTACTAGATATTCGTATGTCTCAGTGCAAGATATGAAGAACATGATGAGTAACTCACATAACGAAGTGTTGTACTCGAATGATATTAGTGACGGTGATTACGCTAGGATCGATGAGTTGTTGGGCGCTGAGAACTGTATATCGCCAGTGAGTGAGACGGTGGCAAGTAATATACGGACTTCACACATAGGGGCCCCGGTGCCTAAGGACCCGAGTACGAAAGTGTTCAACATGCTGCCATCGGTCGGGAAAGTGGCCCACAACCCGCGGGACCCGTCTAAAGTGCCTTCATCACAGCAAGCTTCGTAAGTATAACGTTTCAACGTTTTTATAAGATTCATTTGAGAATATTTGAATTTATTGATTGAAAAATTTATATGTTAAATAAGTTACTAAATAGGTAGATTTTTAAATTATTGTTATGCTATTAGCAATAGCTGTTTCTTTACAGTTTCACCAGATCAATATGTGTACCTATATATTTAGAAAAATGCCTTACTCCTATACTAGTACTTTACTCAGTAACAATATTAAAGAAATAATATTGGAATTGTACTTTTTTAATGCGCTTTTTTTTATTGATTATAATAAAGGCTCCAATGGAGGATGATATGATGAACATGAGGTCAGGTCAGTTAGCACATCGCGGCAAATTCACTAGTAATTTATTACGACGGTTTTAAGGTGGAACTGCTTGCAGGTCAACCTGAACTGACATTGCTAGCACTGGGAACAGTCCAGATTACTAAAAATCCCTTTTCCCCTGCACATCACGCATGTCACCATGGTTTACAGGCCAACCACACACGAAAAACCAGGGGAACTGCAACATAGTTTCATGTCGGCATTTTAAGAAGGGATGACCACTTCTTTAAGGTTTAAATATCGTATCATTGTTGGATGCTGAAGATGATTCTACGATGTAGTCGTGGGTGGCAAAAAGTTTCTGGAAAACCGCACTGTGGAGGATCGCCGTTCATCCAGATGATCAGGATGGTATTTCAGTTTCTGGCAGATAGTGCTATGGTGAAATACAGCAGCCGGTATTAATCAGCCGGCATACGCTGAACGAAGGCCTATTTGGTACCACAGATAATGGTCAAAATGGAATTTCAATATTCTAGTTTGTTTATCAAATAAACGTATTTAGTTTCTTTCTAATCTATTCTTTATTAACTGGTGTACAGACGCGAGAATCGCATGTGGCAATGCAACGAGTGCTGGTTCGCGTACAACGCGTGGTGGGCGCGGTGGTGCGACGTGTGCCGCAGTGGCCGTCCGCCGCACGCGCCCGTCACGCTCGCGCACCGCACCGACCGCACCGACCGCACCGACCGGACCGACCGCACCGACCGGACAGACCGCACCGACCGGACGGATCGGACGGATCGGACCGACAGGCACGATCGGCCCGATCGGATGATACCCAACAGGTGTGTTTATATTTTTAGGTGTAGAATCGCATATCCTTAACGTAATACAACTGCGTAACTAACTAACGTAATACAAATTCTGCAAGCGTTTTATCAACTGATTTCATTCATCGCTTCACTCAAGGCACTCGTATCCATTTGCAAATATAAAGTTCCTTAATATTAATGAGCTAACGAGTATGCCTATATTTAAAAAAAAAATCGCTGGTGCCTGTTTTACCTCCATACCGCTATCGAGAGTGCAGCACTGAAGTCGATTCAAAAGAATAAGAATAATTTATTGCTGTTAGTGAAATTATATAAAAGAAAATACATTTAAAGGATACTTCATTAAGGATGGCAAAAGAACCCGGTTCAGCGTATGCCGTCAGCTTATGCTCGTGTGGTGCGCTACCAAATTTAATTATATAAAAATAATCTAAAATGAAACTAGAGTACAATTCAACTATAGTACAAATAAATTTTCATTTTATATCAATAACTTGGCTACAACACTGTTTTATGTTGAACTACAACATGTTTAAATTAACTTTGTTGATGTTCTTAATATTCTATTCAATAAAGATACTATATATTACCTAGATAAAAGCAACATATAATATCTTCAACTTTCTAAAACTGTATAAGGGACCGTCCAAGTAGTACGTAAGCAGATTTATTACAATTATTCACCCCCCCCCCCCCCCATCTCCCTTGTCATCAAAAGTAAGCAAAGTTCGTAAGCAAAGTTCGTATGATTACGTAAATATTTCAATTAATGTATTGTTTTTTTGCAAAGACATTGTGAGGGTTGCCATTCGTGTAGAAAAGTAAATAACTGCCGATGACGTAACGATCATCTAGAGTCCCCTACTCCCCATGTCATAAGCAAAATAAGACACCCTCGCCCTCCCATACTGCTTACGAAATACTTGAACGGCCCCTAAAGTAAATTGTTCTTGAAATGGAAAGTTCCAGATCGATAACATCAGAGGCGAGCAGTAGCAGCAAGTCGTCGGAGTCGACCCGAAATGAGCCGAAGCGACTGACAGTGCCGATCGCATCTCTTGACCACGATCTGAACAGCGACGAGTTGCTGTTTGCCGTTGGTAAGTTAACACTTACTCATTGAACTTGTGTGTGGATAAGTGTAATACATTTTTTTTTCAAATTCGAAATATCTTTATTCAAGTAGGTCTATTACAGACTCTTATTATATGTCAAATCTACCGTCAGTTCGAAATGATTTCGAGATGAGAAGAACTGAAAAGAAACTCAGCTCGTATTATTTTAAAATAAATGTTGTACATGTTTACAATAAGAATTGCGACTCTGAAGTGGCAATGGGCAGGGCACATAGCTCGTAGGACAGATGGCCGTTGAGGCAGTAAAGTCCTCGAGTGGCGACCACGGACCGGAAGACGCAGCGTGGGAAGGCCTCCAGCAAGGTGAAGGCATTGGATGTGAGCAGCGTAGGACCGATCGTCGTGGAGATCTTTGGGGGAGGCCTATGTCCAGCAGTGGACGTCTTCCGGGCTACGATGATGATGATGATGATGATGTTTACAATAATACTCACATATTCATTTTTAAATTTAAATTTGGGAGAATAGAGTGACCACGTATATGATATTGCAAAATAATAATAATTACCCTGGACATTTCACAGTGCCATTTAGTTTCAAATTAAGCAGAGCCTGTGTTATGGGTACTACATACTAAGTTTGGATGTTATAAAAAAATATAATATCTATGTTCTGGAGTAATCACAGCGGATTTTCGGGAATAATGAAATTAAAGACGCAGAGTAACTTGTACGACTTCTATATTTTAACTTAATAAAAACTACAAAATTGTATGAGCACAAATAATACAAAAGTATAATATTTGTGTAAAAATAAATAGTAGGCGTTTTGTCTTCACAACAGTCTACTTGTAACTAAATCAGTCGTATATGAGCTAATAGTAATATTTCAGATGTTGTTATTTAATAGGTTCGTCGTTCTATCACTTTACTTTCGATGGTAGCAGGTTCGATTCTTCGCACGGTACAAACATTCATGAGTATGATTTGGATTGTTTGTATTGTATATTATGTATTTACAAAAATGTATCCATGTATTTATATCAGTGGTCTAGTACCCATAACACAAGCTCTGCTTACCTTGGGACTAGATGGCGTTGTGTTGTTGTTCCAAGAATATTATTAGTGACACACCGATTTACTTCCAATGGTAGCGAGTTCGATCCCTCGCACGGTATAAATAGTTGATATCGGCCTGGCTGTTTTCTATGTATATTATGTATATATTTACGAATATCTAAGTATTGATATCTGTTATCTGACGATCGATAGAGAGTAGTGGAAGAGAATGACATACTGCGCCGCCCCAAATAATGGGATAAAGGCAAGGCAATGATGTCATCTGTTATCTAGTACCCATAACACAAGCTCTTCTCAGCTTTGGGACTGGATAGCGTCGTGTAATAGTCTAGAGATATTGTCATTATGATGGTTCACCAGCAGACTCGTCGGCGCCGGCCGGTGCGGGCGGGCCGGAGCCGGGCGCTGCGGGCGGCGGCGCGCCGTGGTCGTGCGGTCGCTGCACGCTCGAGAACGACGCGGCCGCGGCCGCCTGCGCCGCCTGCGCCGGCTCCAGACCGCCGTCGCTCCACCACTGGTATGCAATGCTCTATTCATTTGCCCTTTCCTAATTCCTTCCCCTACGATCGGGATCCTTACATTCATTAATTACTAGCTGAACCCGCAACGTTGTTTTGCCATATAAATTTAAATCGCTATTAAAAAATAGGGGTCGGTGATAGAAGGGTGAAAATTTAGAGTTGTATGTATTTTTAATGCTACTATATAAAGTAATACAAATATTTCAAAAATTAAAAAAAATAAATTTAGTGGTGGACAGCTTTTATCACTTGGGGGTATAAAAAAAATTATACTGTTTCTTTCCAGTTCTCCTCAATTGTATCTGTAACTGGTCGGAAAATAATATGGATTAATGTAAAAAATGTGACGTTCATAAGCGACTAAAACAGTTGTGCCCACGCCCCACAGGGGGCCGTTTGATTTTTAAGGGGGCCAATTCGAAAATGGACTCCACATAAGTTTAACGCTTTCGCTTCGGGCCTGGCATAAAAAAAAACACGCAAGTTTCTTGTTCGTTCCTCATATGATGAGACAGCTCTTTTAATGAGCGATGGATTAAAAATTATGACTTTTCATTTTAATTTTGAATAAAATGTGTTCTGTTACTATATATGAATAAAAATCTGCATTTCAGGTCGTGTAGTTCATGCACTCTACAGAATCCTTTATCAGCCTCATTATGCCTGGCGTGCAAGACTCCGCCAGTACCCAAACACGGTGTACCAGGGTCTTCCTCGGATGCCAATTGCAGTGTTGGTATGTACCTAATACGAGTATATAGAGTTATACATAATTAACAAATCTCAAACTTGTCTTTGTAAAATAAAATTAAAAAGAAGATGACTTGAAACAAATGCGCTATCATGCGCGTATGATCACAAAAAATAGTGAATTCGCTTTCCCGCGCTAAATCGCGCGCATTCCTGAACGCGTGTGAAAGAACGTGTCATGTAAAAGCACCTATTATGGTCAGGTCGCTCAGAGTTTGCGTTTCTGACAGGACGGGATCGAATTGGCGATGTAACTTTAACTTCCGTACGTACATAGTTTTTAAAAGTCAAACCACATCAAACTGCGCTGTTTCAAGGTTATTTGGTCACATCACTACAAAAAAACACAGTTGACATAAACTTGAAACAGTGCAGTTTGATGTGGTTTGACTTTTAAAAGTTTTTACAATTTAGAATAGCCCAAAATTAATATAAGTTGCAATAATTATGAAATAATGTTATCACTCGTTAATAAGGCATATTTAAAATTTTGCCGTAAATTGTACGTCAGTTCAAAGTTACATCGCCAATTCGATCGACCTGTCAGAAATGCTAACTCTGAGCGGTCGAGCTGTAGCTATACTACTTGTTTGTACGATTTGTTTTTATACATAGTTGTTCAAAATCTACCCTGTATCATCGTAAGCACAGATATTATATTATATTAGAGTCCGTTAGTTTTCTGTTCCCGCGCGTTCCCTTCCCCTCCCTAATAAGTAACAAACGGACCGTACAGCGGCCTTGACGCGCGCGCGCATTTGTTGTGAATTGAAATAAATTAGAACTGTGTTAAACCTACTGTGAACCTGTGAAAGTGTGTGAAAGCTAGCGAAGATATCTTCGAGACCCTGAAGCCCAAGAAATCCGCAGAACCATACAGGTACGAAACTGACGCTTCCCTAATATTTTGGTAGCAGAGTAGTTTCCCAAACATAGTGTTACATAGCTTTTGGTTACTAAATAAATAACTAACGACTGGTTATTATGCAGTAGGTCGCAGTCCGTCCCCGCGACGATCACGGCACACTCCGGCCCTACCGCGGCGAGGCTCCAGACAGAAAACTCCACCGCCTGAACCCAAGTCAGTTGTATTTTATTTTATATATACTAGCTCATACCTGTGACTTTGCTCGCGATAGCAAACGCCAAGTAATATGTAATAACATCTGTAATATATATATATGGTTTACATAAGTGTAAAAAGTAGGGTTCTGTACAAATAGGAAGGTAAAAAAGTGCGGTTATATTCTGTTAGGAAGGTGCGGTTTTGTTCAGATTGGAAGGTTAAAAACTGGGGATCTGTTTAGTGAGGATGGTTTCAGATGGGAAGATATAAAAGTGCAAATTCTGTTCTGGTAGGAATGTCAAAAAGTGCTCTTGTGTTGAGATAGGAAGGTGTGGTTCTGATTCGATGGGAATGTAAAAAGTGCGTTATCTGTCCAGGTCGGAGGGTGCGGAGTGGTCGTGCGGCGAGTGCACGTTCGCGAACAGTGCGGGCGCGGCCGCCTGCGACATGTGTCAGACGCCGCGCCCCCGCCCCCTGCCCCCCGCCCACCCCGCGCACGACGCCGCGGACGACGACGAACGTCAGTACACACTCATATAGTAGGCCGCCAGTACCCCCCGCCCCCTGCCCCCCGCCCACCCCGCGCACGACGCCGCGGACGACGACGAACGTCAGTACACACTCATATAGTAGGCCGCCAGTACCCCCCGCCCCCTGCCCCCCGCCCACCCCGCGCACGACGCCGCGGACGACGACGAACGTCAGTACACACTCATATAGTAGGCCGCCAGTACCCCCCGCCCCCTGCCCCCCGCCCACCCCGCGCACGACGCCGCGGACGACGACGAGCGTCAGTACACACTCATATAGTAGGCCGCCAGTACCCCCCGCCCCCTGCCCCCCGCCCACCCCGCGCACGACGCCGCGGACGACGACGAGCGTCAGTACACACTCATATAGTAGGCCGCCAGTACCCCCCGCCCCCTGCCCCCCGCCCACCCCGCGCACGACGCCGCGGACGACGACGAGCGTCAGTACACACTCATATAGTAGGCCGCCAGTACCCCCCGCCCGCGTGGACCGGTGCCCAGTCGTTCCCGCGCACGACGCCGCGGACGACGACGAGCGTCAGTACACACTCATATAGTAGGCCGCCAGTACCCCCGCCCCCTGCCCCCCGCCCACCCCGCGCACGACGCCGCGGACGACGACGAGCGTCAGTACACACTCATATAGTAGGCCGCCAGTACCCCCCGCCCCCCTGCCCCCTGCCCCCCGCCCACCCCGCGCACGACGCCGCGGACGACGACGAGCGTCAGTACACACTCATATAGTAGGCCGCCAGTACCCCCCGCCAGTACCCCCTGCTCGCATAATACCGCGCATATTGCAATATTTGTTGTCATTACACACTCATTTAGTGGCCAGATTCCCCCGGAGAGAGACAAGAGACCCCTCCAATGCGCACGACGCCGCGGACGACGACGAGCGTCAGTACACACTCATATAGTAGGCCGCCAGTACCCTGCCAGTACCCCCTGCTCGCATAATACACTACATATTGCAATATTTGTTGTCATTCTTTCCTTTACAGTGGAAGATTCAGACGGAGAGAGACAAGAGACGACTCCAATGGAGATATTGCGGCTGAGGGAAGAAAGTCACGCCTGGACTCAGTGGCAGGAGGTGCTGGCACAGTGTGCTGCGGTAAGTTCCTCGTACCTTCTACATTTTCCACTAGTTGACCCGTGCCACTTCGTCTGCATCACACATACTTAACATTTAATATTATATTTCGCCCAATTTACATATATTTTTACATTAGGTATAATATGCCTATGTAATATTCTGAGCTTGTGACCACGGCTAGTGCAACCTAATCGAAACATCGAGAAAAGACCTTTATTTGCCATAAAATTATTCGTGTTAAGACCCGGTTAATAATATAAATTCGTTAGATAAAAGATAGCTTATGTCCCGTCTTGTAATACTAATGTAATCCTTCCGTCCATCCGTTCCGTCTTATAATAGTAATGTGTACATATAATTTCAAAATTGACTCAGCCATTTAGTCTTGAAAAGATAACAAACAAACAAACCCATTTCCGTATGTCTACCATTAGCATGCTAGTGTATGTATACAGACGGGCGAGCCGTACGTGGACGAGTCGTTCCCGGCGAGCCCGCGGTCGCTGTACTACGGCGGGTCGAGCGGCGGCGCATCCGGCGGGCCGGGTGGCACGGCCGGGCCGGCCGACCGCGCGGACGGCGGCGCGGCCGCGCGCTGGCTGCGGCCCCACCAGATACACGTGGACGCAGACCCGCGCCTGCCCTGGGTCGTCTTCAGGGACCCCAAGCCATCCGATATATCCCAGGGTAAGCATGAGTTCCTTCGTCTTTGTAGACAGCGCTGGGACTTGACTTGGCACGAGAGGAGTTAATGCATCCAGCCGGCCGGACGTTATTTGTACTCGTAGCACCTGTTTGCACTATAGCTTGGCTTCTCTGGCGGGGCTAGTGACTTTGCATCCGGCCAAGTGAGCGCATGGACGCATATGCGCAGGTGGGGTTGCCATGACCATCTCCAGAGACCACAAGCCGTCGGATATAATATAGGGCAAGCACGCGTTCCTTCGTTTTTATACTCGAGAACTCCCGCTGCACTATAGCTTGGTTTGACTTCGACGTTAGTGGCGTTGTACCCGACAGGCGAGGTGAGCGCAGACCCGAGCCTGTCCTGGGTCGTCCTCAGGGATCGCAGGGTAAGCACGGGTTCCTTCGTCTTAGCATTGGTGAGTGCCCGACACTATTGCTTGGCTTGACTTAGGCGGAGTTGATGACACTGCTTCCAGTGGACCGGATGTTCTTTGTACTCTTGAGCACCCACTTGCACTACAGCTTGGCTTGACTCGAACGGAAATAGGGCATCCGGCGGGACACGTGAGTATATACGCATATACGCCTGCCATGGATCAACAGAATTTGAAGACATCAAAAATACTTGAACATTATTTCGTGTTCACTAAAATGCATTTTAAAATGTATTACTCCGCATTTCTAGGTGTACTTGGCAATTGCTGGCTGCTATCAGCTCTGGCGGTACTTGCTGAACGGTCGTCACTAGTCCGAGGTGTCGTGGTCCGCGGGGACCCCAGCGTGGGTGCGTACCAACTGCGGCTGTGCAAGGACGGTAGGTGGCTGACGGTCACCGTCGATGACTTGTTACCGGCCAATAAGAAGGGACATCTTGTCTACTCGCAGGTATGTAGACCATTAACTTTGGACGGTCGACTTAAAACTAGGAATAATAAGAATAATTTTTATGTGTCGTTTCTACATCAATATTATATAAAAGAAAAATTTTAATTTCTTGTATATTTGTCATTACATACAAATATACAAAAAAATCAAATATTTCTTATAAATTAAATATTGTTTCTTATAAATTAAGTATTGATTCGTAATTTCGTAGTATGAGTAGATTATTTTATTAGTATCTTTTGAATTTCTTGATTCTATCTATCGATGATATATATTTTCAATAATCAGTGCGATTTATTGAAATCAATATTATTATCCTAATAAATAAATAAACTTTTCTTCCAGGCAAAGAGAAAACAGTTATGGGTGCCGTTAATAGAGAAGGCAGTAGCGAAGTTACACGGGTGCTACGAAGCTCTGGTCTCCGGGAGAGCTATAGAAGGTAAGTCAATTTTAATTTATAAAATATTGGCTGTCCCGCTCAACTTCGTCTGCAACACACTTACTTTACATTTATCATTATATTTCGCCCAATTATATTTAAATTATAGCCTAAATGTTATTCTGATGTATAAGCTATATTACTGTAAAGTTTTATAAAATCACAAGGACGTACATAGACATATTTTCTTTCAAAATTGCAAAGGAAGTCACAGGTAATTGCAAGTCTTACTAATATTGTAGATTCGTGAGTATATGTGTAATTATAGATGTTACTATTTCATGGAAAAACTACTGAATGGATTTCAGTGAAACTGTACAATAATATAGCTCATACATCAGAATAACACATGCTTAAACATGTGAACGATACCGCGGGGATACCTATTACCTGTATATATGGCAAAAGTGAACAAAACAAATGACGTACTGTGAATGGTGACGACGCGTCGTAGGGCTGTGCACGCTGACGGGCGCGCCGTGCGAGTCTGTGTCGCTGCAGGCGGGCGGCGGGGCGGGCGGCGGCGCGGGGGGCGGGCTGCCGCTCGAGCAGCTCGACCGCGACCTCGTGTGGGCGCAGCTGCTCTCCTCGCGGCAGGCCTGCTTCCTCATGGGCGCCAGCTGCGGCGGCGGCAACATGAAGGTATCGCATAACTTTGGCCATCGATTGTGGGTTCCATTAAATTGTGGTAGATAAATTATTGGCAGATCTAATATTTTTCGGCTTCGGTGCCGCATAGCACTTTTGCTGTGTCTTTTCTTGAGCGCGTGCCACATGATGTCCTTTCGTACTCCGTTTCCAGTGCTAGTGATGCAAGAATTCTCGCAGCCTCTAAAATTGTCCTTCAAAGACACCCAGTCTTAGTACAGTGGAAGGTCAATTTAACAATCAGTTGGTGTCGGTTTTGAAGTCAGTTGAAGGGGCCCACTTTATTGATGTTTTTTTTTTTATAATTCATACAGCGGTCATCAGTAAGCAGTACCAAGCTAAGCAGAGCTTGTGTTATACATACTAGACAACTGATGAAAATAGTTCGATATTTTTTTTGTAAATAAATATATAATATGTATAGAAAACACCTAGACTCTCAGAATACAAATGTTTGTACTGTACGAGGAATCAAATCCGCGACTATTCGAAATAAAGTGGTGTGCCAAATCGCTATGTACACATAAAAAAAACATCCAGACCTATAAAAACAATCACACCCACGAATACAAATGTTTGTACCGTGCGAGGAATCGAACCCGCGACCTGTGAAGCGGTGCTCGAAACCGCTAGACCGCCGAGGCCGTACCTACAGGTGGACGAGGAGGAGTACCAACGACTGGGTCTGCGGCCGCGGCACGCGTACTCCGTGCTGGACGTGGCGGAGCGCGCGGCGGCGCGGCTGCTGCGCCTGCGCAACCCGTGGGGACACTACGCGTGGCGCGGGGACACGCCGCGCGCGCCCCGCGAGCCCCGCGAGCCCCGCGACGCCCGCGAGCCCCGCGACCAGCGCGAGCCCCGCGACGCGCGCGACCACGACCAGGGCGTCTTCTGGATCAGCTTCGACGACGTGCTCAAGTAAACTTTTTCATATCCCTGGATAATTCACGCACATCTACGACGACGTGCTCGAGTAAACTTCACATTCATTTATTATTAATAATAATCCTGGACAAATCGCATTCCGTCATCTTCGACGACATGTCCAAGTAAACTTCACCGTCATTTAATAATGACTAGCTCTGCCCGCGACTTCGTCCACGTGGAAAAGTGACCTTGACAAAAATGATAAAAAATATTTAATAATTTAACCCAAAAAAAATACAGAAAAAAGTTACATCGTTCTAGCACCAAATATGACGAATTTTCATACAAACTTTTGTAAATATTATATATACATAGAAAACACTCAGACCGATACAAACAATCATTAATGTAAATGTGTGTATCGTGCGAGAAATCGAACCGGCGACCATCAAAGTAAAGCGGTGTGCTAAACCACTAAATCACTGGCCGTCAAGTACTAAGTAACAAAATTAACACTCTCTTTTCAGATATTTCGACTGCATAGATATATGCAAAGTGCGAGTCGGCTGGCACGAGGTGCGGTTGGCCGGCATACTACCGCCTATGTCGTCTACAAGACACTTAACTTGTCTATTGCTGACCGCTACACAACCCACCGAAGTTGATTTCACACTGTTCCAGGAAGGCCAGAGGTGACTAAGAAATATATCTTCTTTATAAAATTCTAGTGTCACAGTTTTCGTTCCCATACTCCTCCGAAACGGCTTGACCGATTCTCATGAACGAATATATAACGGAAAGATGTCGAGGATATAGTTCAAGAAACGTGAGAAAGAGTTACAAATATCTATACTTGTTACTGTTTGATAAAACAGAAAGACACCGTCGATACATTGTTTCGTTTAGTGATGGGACTTATTGGAACCCACTCTTAAGTGGGGTCTTACTGTATTATTTGTGATCACACTTTCGCGCGTGATAGCCCGTGTGATTCGTGTCTTTTTTATTATTAGAATAGAAAAGAATAGAAAATCATTTATTCAAATAAACTTAATTTAAGCACTTTTGAATAGTCAACATTTTTTTAAATCTACCGCTTATTCGGAAAGCAATCTCATCACAAGGAGAATAAGCAAGAAACTTGTGTGTTGCTCTTTTAAACAATCCTTGCAAGTTCACATTTTACAAGTCGTAACGTGTGAATACAAACTACCAACCAGCACTAATTTATTTAGGCTCAAATGTAAAAACACAATAAGATTAAATCAGTCGTAGTGATAAGAACAGACCATTCCCTACAAGCAGCACTCGTTCACGAATATGCCGGATGAGCCAGTCATCACTGCGCTCGACCATATTTTAGGGAGCCCAATGTACCGGCCCACCACGCCGCCACATGTCTGGACATTTTAGTGAGCATGACTACTCATTCCACTCGACCACGTCACAGCTACAAAATTTACTATATGGTAGTTACAGTATTCGCACTTTACATGAGGATGCATGCGGCAATCAATACAAAAGCCGCTACGCTATCATATATCAAGAAAGCAGTATGAAAAATAAATTATAACGTTCTCCGCAAATAAACTAATACTTGCTATATATTGCTATCATCTATAAATTCATCTATCCTATAATAGGCTTTTTTACATAACATTTGTTTAATATAAAATTTGATTATTCCATACAGTTTATTTTCCAAAGATTTTTATTTCTCTAAATAGATTAATTTATCTAAATATCGCCAATGTATCATTCTTATGTTACATTTTTAATATTCCAGGAATTCTGCCAAAAGCCAGCGCTCGCAGCTGGATCTCTGCGTGGTGGTGTTTAGGACCCGGTCGGGCCCTACCGCTCAGGTCGGGAAGCTGGTCGTACACAGCAAGAGACAGGTATGTAGATGGCCTTTTTAGTCTCCTCTTGTTACGGCAATTTGTGTCATTAGTCATTTTTTAGTTTTTTTTATAAAGCAGGGAAGTTGACGCACATGATATGATCTCAATTGTGATGATTTTCGATTTTTTTTTATGTATTTCGAGGAATTTAGGAAACGGTGTCTACACATGTCTACATTATCAGGCACTTCATGTGTGGCCACTTCGGAAAAACTCTGTATCAAATGTTCACATCGATATTGTCGAAAAATCTGATATTTAAAAATATTAGAAGAAGGTAGTTTCATTATTACTCGGTATCGTTCAACTAGTTGCGTATAACCCCCACTCATATCTTCTCTGTATAAAATGGAGGATTTTTGTTAACCACGGCAATCGGTCTGGTTGTATTTTAAATGATAAAGTGAATTGTATTAGAGACATAGTTAAATTAATGTTATACAGTTGTTATTTTACTATAATACATACTTTTACTAGTTGATATATCTTACACAAATAATATCTCATTCTGCAATGCAAAATAGCTTTCTAGAAAGTCTTAAATCTACTAAACTTCACTTAAATAATAATATATTTGGTTTTATGTCTAACAATGACTTTTAATATTTATAATAATTGCTAATATCTTAACAATATTATAAATACGAAAGTTTGTAAGTATGGATGTTTGTTATTCTTTCACGCAAAAACTACTGAACGGTTTCTGATGAAACTTTACAGTAATATAGCTTATACATCAGAATAACACGTAGGCTATGATTTTAAAAGATATTATGTAAATTGGGCGAAATATAATGATAAATGTTATGTAAGTGTGATGCAGAGGAAGTAAATCAGCAGGTCAGTTAGGAAAATATTAAGAATGACACACATATTTACACATAATTTTATTTTTGACAATATGATTCCAGGCTCGTGTTAGTTGGCTTTTTCCATTAATGATACGTACTGATCTTTTTTGTAGCTTAAGAATTTGTTGTACAGGTACGCGGCTTTGTTGGCTGCCATAAAATGCTGGAGAAAGGCTTCTACCTGGTCGTGTGCCTGGCCTTCAATCACTGGCATACCGGCCTTGAGTTAGCGGACAGTTCGGCCTGGCCCCGCCACGTGCTCGCAGCCCATTCCTCGAAGCCACTCACCGTTGAGAGGCCCTCACTTCACCCCCACATCTTAGCTGATGCGATTATAGGTCTCACATTGGCTAGAGGGCAGAGACATGAAGGGAGACAGGGCATGACTGCTTATTATCTAACAAAGGTAAAGAACCAGACTAAATATTAAATAAAATATATACAGACGGCCTCATTGGTCTAGCGGTTCAGCACACTGATTTACTTCTGATGGTCGCGTGTTCAATTTCTCGGAACGGTACAAACATTCATGAGTAAGATTGTTGGTATCGGTCAATATGTTTTCTATGTACATTACGTACACAAAATGTATATATACTAGTTGTCTAGTACACATATCACAAACTCTGCTGATATTGGGACTAGATGGCGCTATGTGAAATGTCGTGAGATACTACTAGTATAGTACATATAGTAGTATTGCTATGTGCAATAAACTTTACTATTATATATTACACGATTTATCGCCCGATTAGTTCGGTCGATACGTCGGCCAATTGTATTTACAAGCAGATCTACCCAACTGAATGGAAGCACACTACAGCGTGTTCCCAATTATTTAAATTGGTGCTGTTTGTACACTCATATTTATTTTGTTGTTATAGGGTTGGGCAGGACTTGTGGTGATGGTCGAGAACAGACACACAGACAAGTGGATACACGTCAAGTGTGATTGCCAGGAGAGCTACAACGTGGTCTCCACCAGGGGTGAATTGAAGACTATAGATTCTGTCCCACCATTGCACAGGTATTTGTATTGCTAACTTAGATACAGTTTTAGCATAAGATTTTGGTATATTTAAAGTATTTGATGTATCTTTACTAATTCTTTACATAGGATAAAATGAAGTCGTACGTATATACGTGTATGGTTATAAGAGTAGAGGAAGGCTGAAAAAGAGATGGATGGACTGTGTGAAAGATGATATGCTAAGAAAGCGAGTAAATAACGAGATGACTGCGAACAGGGATGACTGACTGTCTGATCTTCCGCACCTCCTAGGGAGGTGAAGGTTGAGGCCTCGGGGCGAACCCATTGCCCCGGCATCTACTCTGGGGTTAACAACCCTGGGTGGCTGGATCAAAGCACCTAGGCAAGTGTACATAAAAAAAAAAGAAATAAAGAAAAACTGCTTAAAGCTTACTATACGTTCTGCCATACTGGGGGACAATTTTTTTTCCTTTTGTGTTCTTTTGTTTTATTTTATGTATTTATCCAAGTATGGCATTTAGAAATATGCCTAAGCTACTTCGTGTCTCTCTCGCCAAGGGAACAGGGATGACTGGAAGAGAAAAACGTATTACAACAATGTCAAATAATGTCAACTTTGTTAATTGTCATATCAGCGAATATAAGATTGTCTATGCTGTTATCAAAGTAATCTATATATTAATACGTGAAGCAAATCTGACAATAGAACCTAATTTACAAACTTATATTTTTTTTTTGTATTTTTGTGTACTACAATCTGTCACAACTGAACATTAGTAGTATGTTTGTTGGGTTATCTCGTCGTGACAGGCTCGGTATGTGTTACACACATCCTACTTTACTTTACATATGCACTGTTTATTTGACAAGGTCCTGAGGCATTTTGAGTTTTAGTCTGCGATTAGATTTCTCTCACTTTCATCAGTGTCTTTGCCAAACTTATAATTATTTATGGTCAAATTAATATAAATACACAACCTTCACAGGCAAGTGATTATAGTCCTGACTCAACTGGAAGGTAGCGGCGGCTTCTCAATAGCTCATCGTCTGACGCACCGTCTAGCTGCCGGCGCCAGGCTCCAGGACTGGGCTCCAGCATCAGACGACGAGCCGCGCCACAGGCCGCCTCTAGCACGAAGACTTTACGGCCTCCACGCTCCCAGACTTATCACATAGGCATTAAGGTCGGAAATTGATTGTGCTATAGTTAGTATTGTACAGCCGTTTTAATATTAACCGTCTTTTTCTACACACGACTACAACTTTCATGGAGGGTATATGATAGTTTATTAAGATATAAGTGCGCTATGATGGTTATAACACACGTAGTGGAGGCGAGGGCGTAATAGAGCCGAGAGTTTAGAAAGCATGTATATCGTACGTTTTTCAACACACTTGATTTTAAATCTGTGACTAAAGCTGTAATGCACACTGTTGCTTTCTTTCAGTTTTACTTTTTTTGAACAGCGTACTGCCTACTAGCGCCGCGTGGCGATCAGTTTAAATTTTTTTTAAAAAATAATTAGTAGTGCGGTTATAGAATATAACTTAATTACTTTCGTTTATAACGCACGCGTATTTATGAGCTGCTTTATACATCGAAAACCGGTGAAATTCGATTCACATTACTGGCAAGTGTGTTGAAATTTCGTAGGATCGGCAACTCGCACGTGACACTCCATGTGTTTCCGACATCCATAGCCGTTTACCATCAAATAATTTACTTGATTGTCACCATAGTTATATAAAAAAACATGGTTATTCATAATAGGTATGCAAAGTCCAATGGTAGTAAAACTGAACTGTTTTTTAGAAACTGAACAACATAAACGAAAAGTTATATTAATTAATGTTTGTATGAAAGGAAAAAATAATACACTTTGCTCTTTGGATAAAGTGATTTAGTTTCAGAAATGCAAAAACTGGGTATTACTCTTATACCAAACTTAGCATACCCGTTATGATATGTCTTTATGTATTAAATCGTAAATCCCCAATACTATATGTTACTAAGTGATACACAAATGATATTATAATTGTTTTTGTATATATAGACTATTGTTAGAGAGCGTTCTTATTTGTGAACACAAATAGTAATACCAAAATTCACCGGATTAATTGTATGTTGCCACAGTGGCTGCTTTTGCACGACACGCGCGATTTAGTGCGTGAAAGACAACGAGCGCTATCGTAAGCGATTGCGTTTAACTATTTTTTGTGTTCACTCGTGATAGCGAGTGAGTTTCATGTCATTATACTTTCACTTTATATTCTATAGACTTTATTATACGAAATCACGTTTCGGATTTATAAATAATAAATAACTATAATTATATCTTTGCTCCATAGTCCGATGGCCGTCAGTTTGCAATGGTAATTAATTATTTCAAATAGGCGCAAAAGAACGCACCATTGACGGACTCGGGAACATGTGCGCGTTCCTCTCTTTTTCTCTTTGTCTGACTTCACATGCGCTCTCTTTCCTGCGTGAAATCGGATTCGCACTTCAATAAGGGTACGTGCAAAGGCAGCTATACAATTCTAGTGCTGACCAGATTGTTGCTAAGCAACCAACGAACAGCGCGAAACCCGCGGCCGGTGCGCTCTATAAATACGTACTTACTTTGCGTGACGCGTATACAATATTAGATTTTGCTCCGCAGCTATTGAGTTGATAATATGAAAACAGTTAAGCAAGTTCTTAATACTTTCATGTCTCTCATTCCTAATAATTTCGAATACAAGTTTGTAATGAAAGACGTGAAGGGATCGATTGATAAATCATATCGATTAATCGAAGTAAACCGATGTTTTCTGTAATGCTGAATTTATCAAATCACTTGAGTGCCCGCTCAAATAATTGAAGCCTTGTATTAGATATATATATATATACACCACTTAGTTTTTTTTTTTCAAATAAAAAGTATATGTATTATTTATTAATCAATATTTTCAACAATACAATTAATGTAGTTAAAATCACAATACACTGCGGGCCAAAAAGTGGATACATCTAAGAATATTTTCAATCACGTGATCACGGTTTGTTTTCGTTAAACTAAATTCGATATTAGGTACTGAACGTTATTTTTGACAGAATAGTAATAAGTCACTATTGTAACCTATTTATGATAAGTGTTAGGTAGTTATCATTCTTGTATAAAACATGTAACAATGGTTCTTAATGGTGTAATAATAAAGTAGATATTGGCGTAACGAAACGGTTGCTGTAAAATCACTATCTGTTATTTGGCGTAATGTTGTAAAAAAAACTAGTGATGTAAGATTTAGCGTGAAACTAGAATATATACAATTGTAGGGTTATTTTATGAATAGCATTCTAAAATTCTACATATTTTTTTAAGTACCTATAATATTTATATATTGCTAAAACTAATGTTTTTTTTATAGTATGGTATAGTATAATATTTTATAGTATGGATTCGATGTTTGATAAAATTTTAAGTTATTCCAGTTTGTTCCAGACTGCGTCGTAATTATTATATATATAATGTTCTTTTGCAAAAAGAAACATTTTTTTGGTGTTAATAAAAAAAGAAAAATATTTCAGTAAACTTTCAAAGAAGTCTGAAAATGAAAAAGAATAATATCTTTGTACAATCAAAAACTTTCTCTCTCTTTGTATAATGCTTGAGACAGAGAAGAGAGAAAGAGAGATCTCTTTCTCTGTCTTGAGCATTAAATGAGAAGCTCTATTAGAACAAATCGGAATAACTCCAGTATTGGTCCAGTTGTATTATTTATGTTAGTTTATTATAAGTTATTACAAGAAAACTCTCTATTTAAGTTTTTAGCTGTCTTTACACGACATTTTTGACGTGCGATTTAGCGCGGGAAAGTCGTCGCTCGCGTGCCTTTTATTTTGTTTACACTTTCGCGCGTGTCAGCGCGTATTTTTCAAGTCATTTCACTTTCTTATAAAATGTTATTTTTTTTTCGATTTTATTTTCCAAACACACGTTTAAGATTTATAAATATATATATATATATATAGATAACTCTATAATTACGTATTTGCTCTATAGTCAGTCCGCTATTTTGCAATGATAATTGAGCGGAGCGTGAAGCGCGGAGCGATCTTGGGAGTCAGATTTTCACTCTAACGATACTCCTTCGAAACGGCTTGACTGATCGAGACCAAAATTTCATCGAAGGTCGACCTTAGGGTCTCCATCGTTTAGCACTCAATAAAATTGCGATAGGTCATATCCTTAAGCAATGGTCGGTGATAAAGTTTGCCATTTTTTAAATTGATTTCTAGAAGGTTCCACTGAAAATCAGCGTTTGGGCATTACAGCCCAGACACAAAGCTGAGTGGAAACCAATTTGATCGCAGCTGTATATTTAAAATAATTCGTTATAATTTCTTGTAATATGGTTGTTTTGTATGCGCCAAATAAATATATTTTTCTTTCTTTCCATAGATTTTTAATGGTGTAAAATTGCTATAGACTTGCCGGAAAACGATAAACGCGCTCTGCTCAACATATGACCAGGTGTGTAAACAAACACCGGTAACAAACGTAGTTAACTACTAAGAAAGCCTTAAAGTAAGCACGATTGAAAACGCGAGAATACACACGCAGTCCTTCTCATCATTTACATACACATTATTTTCTCCGTGAAAGACGATTCGCGATTTTTTTCGGAATACTCTAATGCTGCTGGCCGCAGCTGGCCTTTACAGCTTCACCGGTCGATAGGGGCGAGTGCAGATGGCACTCCAAACCCGTGGAAGGACTTATGGAGCGGCTGAAGGCCAACTCCCGCCTGACGGATAAGATTTTAGTATGAGGGTACCGCTAGGAGTTCGAACCACGGCTCAGGCCGTCGTAATTTCGATCCCCGTTTGAATTGGATGGGGGATCGATCGGAGAGGCCGATTCGCGCGTGAAAGAGCATGGTGTAAAGGCAGCTATTTATTTACGGTTGTATATTGTAATTTGACATAATCATTACAGTGTAATTTATTACTGTGTAACACGAGCGCACTCGCGCAAGTTACTGTACATACAGCTTGATAGTGTAGATGTAAGCGAGTCACTGCGATATATTTTGTTTATACTTTTGTTTGCAATTAAGTTTAAAAAGACATTTTATTAACGTTGTGATCATGGAACCGTTGGGTTTTACAATTATAATACTCATTAATTTATTGATTTTTATACAATTGTTGTTTTAAACAATTCTTGCCATTTATGCTTTACGAATTACGTATATTGGTGTTGTGTACAGGGTGATTTTGTTTATCGAGTAAAAGATTCTGGCTTAATAGGTACTTGAACGTAATTTGAATGTTATTATATATATACTAGCAGACCCGGCCAGGCGTTGCTGTGGCTAAGGTTCTTAAATAAAATAATATAGCAACTATAAATTGAGATGTACGATATCCTATCTTTCAAGTTCGATCAAATTGCACACCTTGTGCAAATCAAATTTTCAATCGATTCAGTAGTTTAGAAGTCCATCGTGGACAAACATCGTGCCACGTATTTTTTAAATAAAAAGATAATACAAGTATTTCCATTATACTTCCGGTGATCGCAGGTTCGATTCCTTGTACGATACAAACTTTTGTATTCATGTTTGTATTGGTATGGATTTTCTACACGTCTTTACATACGTAATTTAAAAGAATGTATCTATGTATTTATATCAGTTGACTAGTACCCATAACACAAGCTTTTCTTAGTTTGGGACTAACGGCACTGTGTGACATGTCCTGATATGTTATTATTTAGTTTGTCTACTTATAATACTTAAGTATTTGCCCTAATTTTCTTTAAACGATAAACAAAGTCATTCCGTATCTTAATTTGGTGGGACTGTCCATCAATAAAGGTTTTTTTTATAGTGTATCAAGATCTGATTGATTTGAAAAGTGATTGAATCGTTGTTGATATTGAATAAAGGAATGTTTAATCGGTATAGAAAATATACGCTAGTGTTATAACGTACAGCGAAGTTTTGTGTTTGTCTGCATGTGAAGGGTGATCTCTGGAACTATTGCACTTGTTTGAAAAATCCATTCACCATTGTATAGATACATTATTACTGATTGATGTGAATTTTGGAGTAGGCAATATATTCCACTCTGGGAACTGTTCTTGTAAAATTGTTTTTTACTTTTAGACTTTATACCTGATTGATGTCGCTCAATCAGGTTACGTAACGGTAGAAAAAATGTCATATTTCAAATTTCACTATTACTGATTGACATACATTTTTAAACATATTCA